GATATTCGCGCTATACAGTAGTTGTGAAATGTGTTTTTCATATCACTAGGGTGAAACTCCAATAATGATTGTGTCAAATCGACATCATGAACTCAAACAGCTGCTGCTGAAGTTGCTGCGGTTGTTCGATCGTTTTCATCATCATTATCATCATCAGCTTCGTCATCCTCCTCCTCGGGGTCTTCGGGGTCCAGCGAAGCCCGACACAGTGGGCATGACATTTTCCCCACCTGAAACCATCCCTACTAGAAAAATATCAATGGAGTTTCACGCGAAGTGAACAAAGAAATGGTTTCATTTCACGTTCTTTACGCGTTATTCACAGCAAACACGCGTTTTTCGCGAAGTGAAATGTGTTTTTCACTAGTGTTGTTCATACGAAAATTCCCCAAGGTGAAATTCTATTCAAAATTTGAGTGTTACTTCATCAAAGGAGTCTCACCCTAGTGATATGAAAAACACTAGTGAAAAACATACTTTACGACTACTGCATATCACCGCGAATATCGCGTTTTACGCCACTTCGCGTAAAACGGGCTCTTGTGAAACTCCAAAGAGCAACAAGTTTCCATCGACACCAGCAAGCAACCCCAAGCTTCATATCAAATCGATCGATATCAAAATTCAACTCAGAAAAATGATTCCCCTACAGCAGTCGGAATCCAAAGAACCTGTTTCGCTGTCTACGACGGTGTCGTTGGAATATATGTTCGCTTTCCTCAACTGATCTCGAAGGAGTTTCATCGCTGATTATAGGAGTTTATATACGAACTCGGGTAGAAATCAAACATATATTCCCACACTGTTCTGCGTTTGTTGAATCCTGCTGCACGTTACATCAAAAACATCATATTTTATTTCGAGCAGCTGTGCTGGATTCAGCGGATACATGTAATGAGACGTGAGAATGTTGTAGTCCCTTGAACACACGAATGTTTGTCCTCCATAGTTGTCTTATACTTGTGATGTAGTTGTGTATCTAGCCTCATGCTAGTATGCTGATCTGCTACGATTGAACTTCCATACATCTTCAAGCTGTTATTAATCTTACGCTCTACGTGAGATCAGACGGTGTTTCGTTAACTAAGAGGATATAGGAAAACCACCGTCACACACAGCGTATATATTATACATATGTATGAAGACTCGACCGAACCCGATATACCTTCGCCCAGTTGATCAGACACTCGTGATGGAAATAATGCTGGCATGGGGTTTCCCGTATAATTTCAACACCACTAGTCGTTGATGGAGTTCCACTGAACCTAAATAACATGACAAGGGATCGACCCCGCGACCACAGGGTATTGAACGTGTTATGATACCACTACACCAAATTGACTGTATTACTCAGTCAAACAGACACTGCACTCCTCTGCGACTTTCGAGGCCTCTTCGACGGGTACAATACGTAAAGCCGATATCACCTGATATAACACTAAACACACACGTACGATGGAGTTCCACCCGTGATATAAAAACACTAGTAAAAGACATATTCCTAAATTCTCGCCGCAGCAAATGATCATGTCACCGTTTGCGAGAAACATATATACACTCCTCACTAGTGTTTCACCAACATATATTCGCTTTCCTCAGCTGAGCT